TAGATTAACATTGCCCACAGACTAACATTGCCCATAGACTAACATTACCCATAGACTAACATTGCCCATAGACTAACATTGCCCATAGACTAACATTACCCACAGACTAACATTATACATAGACTAACATTACCCATAGACTAACACTACCCATAGACTAACACTGCCCATAGACTAACATTACCCACAGACTAACATTACCCACAGACTAACATTGCTCACAGACTAACATTGCCATAGACTAACATTGCCCATAGACTAACATTACCCATAGACTAACATTGCCCATAGACTAACATTGCCCATAGACTAACATTACCCATAGACTAACATTGCCCACAGACGAACATTACCCACAGACTAACATTACCCACAGACTAACATTACCCATAGACTAACATTGCCCATAGACTAACATTGCCCACAGACTAACATTGCCCATAGACTAACATGACCCATAGACTAACATTACCCATAGACTAACATTACCCACACACTAACATTACCCACAGACTAACATTGCCCACAGACTAACATTACCCACAGACTAACATTGCCCATAGACTAACACTACCCATAGACTAACATTACCCACAGACTAACATTACCCATAGACTAACATTGCCCATAGACTAACATTGCCCACAGACTAACATTGCCCATAGACTAACATTACCCATAGACTAACATTGCCCACAGACTAACATTGCCCATAGACTAACATTACCCATAGACTAACATTACCCATAGACTAACATTGCCCACAGACTAACATTACCCACATACTAACATTACCCACAGACTAACATTACCCACAGACTAACATTACCCACAGACTAACATTACCCATAGATTAACATTGCCCACAGACTAACATTGCCCATAGACTAACATTACCCATAGACTAACATTGCCCATAGACTAACATTGCCCATAGACTAACATTACCCACAGACTAACATTATACATAGACTAACATTGCCCATAGACTAACACTACCCATAGACTAACACTGCCCATAGACTAACATTACCCACAGACTAACATTACCCACAGACTAACATTGCTCACAGACTAACATTGCCATAGACTAACATTGCCCATAGACTAACATTACCCATAGACTAACATTGCCCATAGACTAACATTGCCCATAGACTCACATTGCCCATCGACTAACATTGCCCATATACCAACATTACCCATAGACTAACATTGCCCATAGACCAACATTACCCATAGACTAACATTGCCCATAGACTAACATTACCCACAGACTAACATTGCCCATAGACTCACATTGCCCATAGACTCACATTGCCCACAGGCTAACATTGCCCATAGACCAACATGAGCCATAGACCAACATTACCCACAGACTAACATTACCCATAGACTAACATTGCCCATAGACTAACATTGCCCATAGACCAACATGAGCCATAGACTAACATTACCCATAGACTAACATTGCCCATAGACCAACATGAGCCATAGACTAACATTACCCATAGACTAACATTGCCCATAGACCAACATGAGCCATAGACTAACATTACCCATAGACTAACATTGCCCATAGACCAACATGAGCCATAGACCAACATTACCCACAGACTAACATTACCCATAGACTAACATTGCCCATAGACTAACATTGCCCATAGACCAACATGAGCCATAGACTAACATTACCCATAGACTAACATTGCCCATAGACCAACATGAGCCATAGACGAGGACCTCCCCCTGCGTCTGTTTTACTGTGTACGTGGCTTGTGGCGCGTGCAGCCTGGGGGGTGGAGGGGCGGGGGGCGAGGGGGGGGTGACGGCTCCTGGCACGCTGGGCGTGGTTGACGCACGCGGCTCCGAGCAGTCACGTGCGCCGTCAGCAGTCACGTGCGCCGTCAGCAGTCACGTGCGCCGTCAGCAGTCACGTGCGCGTGACTGAGTAATGGGATGGGGAGCGGTGGCGCAGCGGTTCCAACAGTCTGGTGCAGGTTACACGGGGGACCTTTATCTTGTGTGGACAGGTGTGGCCTCACCTGTAAGGTGATTGAGGAGGGGGGGGGGGGTCTCCTTTGATCTTAGCCAGGTGGGGGTGGGCGGGGGGTTTGAACGTTAGTGGGGGGTGAACGGTGGCGCAGCGGTTAGCGCGCTGCGCTACGAACCGCGACCACCAACAGTTCGATTCACGCTCACGGCCAATAACAATGACGATTATCTGTACCGGTCCTGGACTTCCACGTGGTAGACTCGGCCTCAAATGAGTACCTGGTGCGGTGTTTAGACTTCGTCAGTCGGGGGTGGCAGGGCGTGGTACAGGTCACCCCACCCACTCCCTCGTGTGCCGTGTCGGCCTTCACAGCTGCCCCAACTGCACTTTCCCCAACAGTCTGTTACGGCTATATGGAAGAGGCTTTGTCTTTGTTTACGAAAGCTCAAAGTTGCACTTGTGAAGACCGTGGAGATGCCAGGCGGATGATACCGGCAGATACACACACATAGCTCTCAACTCATCACATTGTTCACCAACAACAACCATGTGTGGTCCTAAAAGGAAAACGGTAAATATCTATATATATACCGTAGCAAATGATTGAGGCAGTGCTATTGATGAACCACTTCGTTGAGCTGTCATTTGTGGCCAGGTCGCTTCTGAAAAAGAGCTACTTGGCTCAAGTGGGCATTGCCCGGTAAAAAATACAAAGTTAACAATTTAGTTTCTTTACCCAAGGAAGTCGCACCGAGGCCAAACATGCCAACGCAGGAGGTGTATTTATTTCGCCTTCCGGACGAGGAAACCGGAGAATTCAGAACACGGGGAGAGAATGCAAACGTCCGTACAGCAAGGGCGGCGCCCGAGTTGGGAATCGAACCCGGGTACCTCTGTCCTCATGGCTGGGTAATGCCTTGCTGTGGAGGCGGGCGACGTCTTGCAGGATCTGCCAAATCATTTGATGCCGGTGCTGCGATCCGCTGTGCTTTGTGCACCACTGCCGACACAAACGCCCCGACTGATTTGTCACTAAAACCGCGTGGCCCTTGACAGTGTAACAAGTGGCCATTTGTTACGTGTAAATACATTGTCAATTGTTGGTCTTATACTCCAGAGGATGCGGTATAATGCACTCATATTTTCTCGGAGCACACGCGAGGGGCGTGGGTAGCTGAGGTGTCAAAGTCATTTTGATCACACAGAGGGCCTTGCGGGCATCACGTGGCTCCGCTACGGTGTTTGGAACCCCCCAGCGCTGTCACCACCAAAGAATTTGCTGTGTAATGTGGAATTCGGGCACGGCGGTGGCGGTTACGCTGCACGCGCCCTGTGATCCAGCACTGGCTGCAGAAGCCAGGGTTGGTGGATCGCTGCTGTGAAACTCCCCCTTCCCGTGGGTGGGCGTGCAGGAGGCGCCGTACCCCTGGCTCGCCAGGGTAAGGCGGTAGGACGACTGTGGACTCCACCTGTGTCCCTCCTGTATGGTTGTGGGGATCGAGTGTTTCCCCCTCGCACGGCGTTGGGTTTCTCCGGCTGCTCCGGTTTCCTACCACGTGTGACCAATTCATTAACCGGCCGATAACACCGGCAGCTCGTCGCAAGTTGGCATGATCCTCTACTTCCGTTTGAGGCTCAACGAGGACACGTGACTGTGAGCTGCCAAGCCTGCCAGCTCCGCCCACTTGTACATGAACACGCCCACTCAACTGCTAGCCCCCCACACACACTGGCAGCGATCTGGAGGCAGAGGGACTCGTGGAGAGAGAGATACCGAAGCCAAGTCCAGACGGAAGGACAGAAAAGAGAGAGAGAGAGAGAGGTGGCGAGACAGAAAGAGAGACCGATTATGAATACACAGAAAAAGAGATGTGGACATCAGGACATTGACACAGACAGACACGTGGAATAAGGTGACCAGTACCTCGCCCTATTCTCACCAGACCTCACCACACCACACCTCACTCACCACACCGATCGTAAGCACAAACAACAGCCCGTAGAGTCTTACCCCATCACCCTTTCTACCAGACCTCACCCCCACGCATCGTCACCGACCCTCACCATCAGAGCCCAACTCACCGTGCCTCGACCCACGAGGCACCGCTGTTGATCGTCTCCACCGCCCCGCTGCACCGCCCCCCCCTCCATCATGCTTCAGACGAGACGCCTCGCGGTGACAGCAGTGTGAGACGCGGCGCGATTGATCAGAGGTGTAGAATGCACTTGAGGATCAGAATTTCTTCATGCTGGAGGAGGAATCCGATGAGCCATGAAGCTCTTTATGTTCACAAATGGTCCAGGAGGGGCACGGGGTCAGAAAGTTACAGCAACAACAACAACAAACAATCGAAAACACGATAGGCATGCAAGATGTTGACTACCTCGCGTGGTATTCAGGAGGTTGTGAGTTTGATCCCGACCCTGTCGCCCGCTGCTGTATAATTGGAGATTGTCTCTCTCTCTCCCCGTGGTCGCGTGGATTTTCCCCTCCACATTTCGAATCGCACGTTTCGAGTGTTTGGCCGCTGTGCATTCCCACGTTATAAACCACTTAATTGGGCTATCATTTGTGATGGGCAAGTTCAATTCTGACAAACGGAGCTAGCTGAGCGGCCCAGACCGCATGGGCCTTACCCCAAATAGACAGGCGTCAACGTCGGGATCGAACTGGAGAGATCTGTGTTCACATCCTGCGTTTGATGACCGTGGGATAGGTTTCTCTCTTCCGGAACGACGCCTGTGTATTCTGCCGTTCGATTTTCCACGCGCGTCTACTGTGTACGTACTTATGTGTTTATCCGCCGAGCAGAGGGGACATTTTAGTGAACAACTCGAACGAGAAGGGCACGGCGCGAGTTGGAAGCCCGGTAGCCACCGGGGCCCAGCCCGACGTATACCGGCAGTGTCACGGCAAACATCACGTAGCAGGAAATGTTCACCGGTAAACTCACGTGACCCCCCCCCCTCTCTCACCCCCCCCCCCTCGCTGCTTGTGTTACAGCCAGCCGTCACTGAAAGCAACGGAGTCAGCAGTGAACATTCCGGTTTGGTACCAGATACTTCGACGGATATCGAAGTGACTTACAAGACCGTATCAACAGAAAATGTACGTCAGTGTCAGTGGTGGTGGTAATGATGCTGTGAGTGGTGGTGGTAATGATGCTGTGAATGGCGGTGGTGGTAACGATGCTGTGAATGGTGGTGGTGGTAATTATGCTGTGAATAGTAGTGGTGGTGGTGGTAATGATGCTGTGAATGACGGTGGTGGTGGTAATGATGCTGTGGCGGTGGTGGTGGTAATGATGCTGTGAATGGTGGTGGTGGTGGTAACGATGCTGTGAATGGTGGTGGTGGTGGTAACGATGCTGTAAATGGTGATGGTGGTGGTAATAATGCTGTGAATGGTGGTGGTAACGATGCTGTGAATGGTGGTGGTGGTGGTAATGTTGCTGTAAATGGTGGTGGTAATGATTATGTAAATGGTGATGGTGGTAGTAATGATGCTATGAATGGTGGTGGTAACGATGCTGTGAATGGTGGTGGTGGTAATGATGCTGTGAATAGTGGTAGTGGTAATGATGCTGTGAATGGTGGTGGTGGTAATTATGCTGTGAATGGTGGTGGTGGTAATTATGCTGTGAATGGTAGTGGTGGTGGTAATGATGCTGTGAATGGTGGTGGTGGTGGTAATGATGCTATGAATGGTGGTGGTGGTAACGATGCTGTGAATGGTGGTGGTGGTGGTAATGATGCTGTAAATGGTGGTGGTGGTGGTAATGATTATGTAAATGGTGGTGGTGGTAATGATGCTGTGAATGGTGGTGGTGGTAATGATGCTGTGAATGGTGGTGGTGGTAATGCTGCTGTGAATAGTGGTGTTGGTAATGATGCTGTGAATAGTGGTGTTGGTAATGATGCTGTGAATGGTGGTGGTGGTAATGATGTTGTGGGTGGTGGTGGTGGTGATGATGCTGTGAATGGTGGTGGTAATGATGCTGTGGGTGGTGGTGGTGGTGGTGGTGGTAATGATGCTGTGGGTGGTGGTGGTGGTGGTAATGATGCTGTGGGTGGTGGTGGTGGTGGTGGTAATGATGCTGTGGGTGGTGGTGGTAATGATGCTGTGGGTGGTGGTGGTGGTAATGATGCTGTGGGTGGTGGTGGTGTTGGTAATGATGCTGTGGGTGGTGGTGTTGGTAATGATGCTGTGGGTGGTGGTGGTGTTGGTAATGATGCTGTGGGTGGTGGTGGTGGTAATGATGCTCTGGGTGGTTGTGGTGGTGGTGGTAATGATGCTGTGGGTGGTTTTGGTGGTAATGATGCTGTGGGTGGTGGTGGTGGTGGTGGTAATGATGCTGTGGGTGGTGGTGGTGGTGGTAATGATGCTATGGGTGGTGGTGGTGGTGGCAATGATGCTGTGGGTGGTGGTGGCAATGATGCTGTGGGTGGTGGTGGTAATGATGCTATGGGTGGTGGTGGTGGCAATGATGCTGTGGGTGGCAATGATGCTGTGGGTGGTGGTAATGATGGTGTGGGTGGTGGTGGTAATGATGGTGTGGGTGGTGGTGGTAATGATGCTGTGGGTGGTGGTGGTGGTAATGATGCTGTGGGTGGTGGTGGTGGTGGTAATGATGCTGTGGCTGGTGGTGGTGGTGGTAATGATGCTGTGGCTGGTGGTGGTGGTGGTAATGATGCTGTGAATGGTGGTGGTGGTGGTGGTAATGATGCTGTGAATGGTGGTGGTAATGATGCTGTGAATGGTGGTGGTGGTAATGATGCTGTGAATGGTGGTGGTGGTAATGATGCTGTGAATGGTGGTGGTAACTCCCTCATCGTCATGCGACCAGTTCGCCGGCCCCTGTGACTAAAGAGGTTCACAGCTCATCGGATTCCTCATTCTGAACTCCGAACACATTTTGTGGAGTAGGGAGTTGTGGGGAGGGGGACAGACCCTTGGGGGGGGGGGGGGGACGAGGCATCGGGCAGCGTCTTGGTGGCTTCTGATGAGCAACGTCCTCGTCGCCCGTGGCTGTCGGTCTCGGTTGTGTAAGACGAAGAAGACTCGTAGCGCTCCACGGTGAAACGGCAGCGGCAGCTCGCTGCCGGGGTGACTTGGCGCGGTTGGGGGGTCACGGGCCAACGTTTCGCACCGAGGGAGATGGGCGCCCTAACGTGGTCGAGCCCCTTTGATGTGCGCGAAAGCTGGGCCGCTGACGTAATTTGTGACGGCAAGAGCCGGCAGTTAACTTGTAAAGGAAGATTAATCATCGCAAACTGGAGCCGTGTGCGTTCGGTCTGACACTCCGACTCGTGCGGCGCCGAATGAGGAGTGAATCGTTTACGGTCACTGGGTGAGGATTTACGAATCGGAGGTGCGACCTGATGATTCCGCAAGCTGTCTTTTTTTAGCGCGCTACGATTTACAATGTCCTGCTTTGTGATGCACGCCCCGTTTCACAACATCTTACATTTAGAGATGGGGGGGGGGTAGGCAGAGGGGGGGGGGCATATAAAGAGACAGCTGGCGCCACTGCGAGGCGTCCTTTCAAACGACGTGGTGGGATATTGGTTTGCCCATCGTGGGATGAGTATTTCTCTAAAGCAGGGCAGGTGGTGTGATGGTGCTGCCCTCTGCTGTGTGTGAGCCAGATGTCACGCGTGACCGATGAATCTCAAATCCCAAGCATGCGGCAGCTCTCCCACAGGGGCAGCTGCCGCATGCTTGAGATTTGTCGTAAGGCTGTCTGAGACGCCCCCAGCGTAAGAGAGGGCAGCCCCCCCATACCGATCCACCCCCTCTCCTGACCTCCCCCCCCCCCCCCCACGTTCCTCCTCCCCCCCGGGCCCCACCGATCCCCATGCAACTTCCGAAGTGACGGTGGTTTTGGGGCTAAACCGGTGCTGTAAACGTTGCAACGTTGTCCCGACGTTCGCCCGACCAACGTCGTCCCATCTTTAGTTTAGAGGTCAACCCCGGCTGGGATTTGAACTCGAGGCCCTCGCAGCTGTCCCATGTCCCCGGGCCCGCCAATGATGCCGCCCGCGTGTCAACTCACGGCGGGCGCGTGTACACCCGTGTGTGTACACACACACAGGCGCGTGTACGCCCGTGTGTGTGTGTGTACACCTGCATTACGAACCCGGAGACCCGGGTTCGATGCCCGCTCACGGCCACCAACACCGGTGACGGTTATCTGAATCGGTCCTGGGCCTACCCCCCTAGGTCGACTCGGCCTCAAATGAGTACCTGGTGTGGTGTGTGAACGTCGCCATTGGGGAGACAAAGGTGGCCGTGCGTGGTGCTGGCCACCCACCCTCGTGTGCTGTGCCAACCTTCACAGGTGCTACTCGCTAACAGCACTTGCCCCTACAGTATGTTAATGCTACACGGGGGATCTTTGTCTTTATGCGCGAGTCAACTCTGATGACCTGTCACGATTAAAATTAATGTGACACAAGGCGTCATTGTTGGGACAGGGATTTTTACGGTGGTGAAATCAGTGAGGCGGGGATTTACCGTGGTGAAATCAGTGGGGAAGGCATTTTACCGTGGTGAAATTAGTGAGGTGGTAATTTTATGACGGTAAAAAAGTCGTGCCCTTTCTGAAACGACCACGACACTGCCCTGGCCACAATCCAGGGCCTTTTGGTGGCTTTGGGCTAAGTGCCTGGGCGCACGTGAGTGGGCGGGCGGGTGAGCGGGCGAGTGAGCGAGCGGGTGAGCGAGCGGGCCTGTGAGAGAGTGGGGGTGAGCGGGTGAGCGAGCGGGCTTGCGAGAGAGCGGGTGAGCGAGCGGGCTTGCGAGCGGACGAATGGGTGAGCGGGCAATTGGGCGAGTGTGTGCGTCATAGTTTTGTTCCCGGCAGGACCTGGTGGACTGGAGCAAGCCGCTGCTGTGGCAGGTGGGGCACCTACGGGAGAAGTATGACGAGTGGGTGCACCAGCCGGTAGACCGGCACATCCGCCTGTTCGGCTCTGACCTCGTCGAGTCTTGGACCAAGACCTCATGGTGAGTGGGGGGAAGTGGGTCGGGTGGGGGGAGCACACACAATGGCGATGTCAGCTGATAAAACCCCCAAATATATTTTTATATTTTTTTAGTTTACCAGGTAAGGCCCACTGAGCTGCATAGCTATCTTTCAGAAACAAACTGAATATCACAAATGAAAGCTAAACAAAGTGGTGGCTTATCTTAACGGGGCAATGTATAGCAGCCAAATACTCTAAATGCACGTTGATTATAAATGTGGATGGAAAAAACGTGACCAGCAGTGCTGGATGAAGCTAGTGGGCGGGGCCTGTTGCATTTGTTATAAAGGGGCCCTAAATTAAAAAAAACACGTGTGTCCAGGTACGTGGTGCCTAGCGTGTGGCTGCCGGTGGTGCTGCTGTGGAGCGTTTGGTGCAACCGGGAGTTGGCACGTGGTGACACGGCCCTGCACCCTCCGCTGCTGACCGGTGAGTGCGCCGTTCGCTCGCCCACGCACGTGCCCACATGCGTGCCCACGCACGTGCCTACACGCGTGCTCACGCACGCCAACATGCACGCCCATGCACTTGCCCAAGCAGTTTCCAACTTTATTAGTTCTGGGTCACTGAGAATGAAAATGATGCTTTAAATTATTGATTGGCTCTAGTTTTCAAGATATGCTCCTGGGTCGGTATATACGACCCTTGACTTGGGAATGGCGGAGGATAAGTGAGTTATAAAGGGAAGGGATCTCAGTTTAAAACAGAAATGACTAAATACATATGTGACTGGATCTATGCATAAATCTATGACTGGGTTTGGACAGTACTTGCTTTTTAAGCAAAGCAATGAATGAGACAACCAGAACCTGGAATTGCATCATACATGGATGATGCAGCATAACTAGGCTTACATCCCTCTGCTGAACAAATCGCCCTATATCAGCTCTAGAAATCACAGTGACGTGCTCTCTTATTTGTCAATGTTTGATTTTGCAAAGGGACACATTTCTGTTTAGCCAAAGTGAGCAGAGGTGCCTCGTACTTGTGTGAACAAAGCAGATAACTTCTGCTATGCTTGTGGTGAAGTGACTTTTGCATCACAAAGCACAGTATAACCACTATGGTTAAGAAAGCCCATCACCTTTATTTTGGCTGCAAAAAGCAGCGGCCACATACCGTAAACGCATGACGTTGACTCTAAATGTGGAGGGGGAAAGTGGAGGACCCGGAGAAAAATCTACGCGACCACGGGGATAACACGCACACTCCACATATACAGGTGTCAAGGTCGGAATCGAACCCACGACCTCCTGTGTGCCGGGTGAGGTAGTTAACATCTCGCCACCGTGGCGCGCGAGGCAAAGCCGGCCGGGCGTGGTGCTGGCCCACCCCTCCCCCTCGTGCACCGTGCGGCCTTCATAGGTGCTGCTACCCCCCGCTTAATAACAACACTTGCCCCCAACATTCCGTTAAGGCTTCACGATGGTGGCGGTGGTGGTGGTGATCTTTGCCTGTTTGTCTTTGCAGGTGCGAGTGTGACCGTGGGGCAGGAGTGGTTCCCCCTCCTCTTCCTTCTGGGCATGTTCATCTGGTCCTTTGTGGAGTACAGCCTCCACCGCTTCCTCTTCCACATGACCCCGCCCGCCAACAACTACTACCTCATCACGCTGCACTTCCTGCTGCATGGACAACACCACAAGGTGAGCGACCATGACCACCCACCCCCCCCCCCTCTCCTCACCTGTCTCTCCCCCCTCACCTGTCTCTCCTCAATTCTCCTACCTCTCCCCCTTCACCTACCTCTCCCCCTTCACCTACCTCTCCCCCTCACCTACCTCTCCTCCATCTCCTATCGCTCCATCCTCACCTACCTCTCCCCCCCTCACCTGTCTCTCCTCCATCTCCTATTGCTCCACCCTCACCTACTTCTCCCCCCCTCCACCTCTCCCCCCTCACCTCTCCCCCCTCACCTCTCCCCCCTCACCTCTCCCCCCTCACCTCTCCCCCCTCACCTCTCCCCCCTCACCTCTCCCCTCACCTCTCCCCCCTCACCTCTCCCCCCTCACCTCTCCCCCCTCACCTCTCCCCCCCTCACCTCTCCCTCTCTCCGGCTGCACAGTCCCCGTTCGACGGCTCCCGCCTCGTCTTCCCCCCCGCTGCCGGCGTCTCTCTTCGTGGCGCTCTTCTACGTCGGCTTCCGCCTGGCGCTGCCGAGCGCCGTCACGGGCTCGCTGATGGTGGGCGGCCTGGCGGGCTACGTGATCTACGACCTGACGCACTACTACCTGCACTACGGAGCGCCGCGCCGCGGCACCTACCTCTACCACCTCAAGGCCTACCACGTCAAGCACCACTTCGAGCACCAGAAGCTCGGTAGGTCGCAGGTCGCGGGTCGCGGCGACACCGCCGCGTGACCCCTCGGTGGTGGGCGGCGAGACTAACCCCGTGCTGGAACGGAACCGGAGAGAAATCTGAAATAACTTTATCGGTACCGAGGCTTCCCCGGCAAGGCCGTGCGGGAGGGCGTGTGGCACAGTTTGTCGCCGGCTACCGTAGGGTGACGGCAGCGGCCGTGCTGCTACGGTTCTCTGTGGCGAGTCACGACGTCGTTAGAAATAGCGGCACTGCTGCTGCTGCTACGTCTTTCTAAGTGAAATGGACTTGTCTCGGAACGGGGGAGAGGGTTCAGTTCTTCTTGGTCCCTTATTGTCCCCCTCCCCACATAACAGTAAAACACAACCCCGCTCGTGGTGGTCCCCACTTGGGTGAGATAGCGAACTCAATCCCCTCCCTCCTCCAGACCCAGGAGCGCAGAGTTTGGGACCTATGTCTGCGGTGGCTAGGAGATGTGAACAACCTCTCCTGGTATACAGGAGGTCGCGGGTTCCATCCAGACCCGGACGCCTCCTGCTGTATCTTTGGAGTGTGCACGTTCTCTCTGTGGTCACGTGGATTTTTCCCTGGGTCCTCCGGGTTTCCCCCTCCACATTTAGAATGAACATCACGCGTTTAGAGTGTTTGGCCGCTGTACATTTCCACGTGATAAGCTGCTTCATTGGGCGTGAAAGCCAGTTCGCTTCTGAAAAAAAAGAGTTACATAGCTCAGTGAGCCTTACCTGGTAAAATGAAAACAGTTTCGTTGAAGTTCTTTCCCCCCTATCTTCCGCTCCCCACATAACAGTACACACAACCCCGCTCGTGGTGGCCCCCACTTGCGTGGGGTAGCGAGCCCAATCCCCCGCCAGAAACACAGCGTTTCGGGACTTCTGTCCGCAGAGTTTCTGTACCGCCCCTCCCTGCGTCGCCGTTTGTGCTCTGTACCGGGCTCGCACTGAAATGGAATAAAAACGTGCGTGTGCGTGGCGGGGCTGGGGTGGTGGTGTACCCCCGCGTGTCTCCGTGTGTCTTGCGAGCAGGCTTTGGGATCACGAGCAAGCTGTGGGACTTCCCTTCCAGACGCTCATTCCCAAGGAGACCTTTGAGAAGTCTCACTGACGCCCCCGCGTGGCAAACCGCTGCCACCGCCACCGCTCCTCCTCCTCCTCCTCTCGCTTCCCCGTGGCAACGTCGCTCTGGGATCCCATCGGCTCGATTCTCGAGACCGGTCGTCTCACTCCGGCCCACAGCGATGGGGGGGGGGGGGGGGATACGGGGGGGGGATACGGGGGGGAGGGATATGGGGGGGCGGCGAGGGGTGTGTGTGAGTGGGGAGGGGGTGAACGCCGCCACTTTGACCTCCGCAACATCGAGGGAATAATTTCCTCCCCCGCCCTGCCGCTCTTCTCTTTCTTACCGAGTCCGTGCCTTTGATGATGATGATGATGATTGTTAATTTCACTATTTACATATCTCCCATTCCACTGCAAAGTCCTTCACACACGAGGATCCCCTCCCTTTATGCATCCTCCCACCCTTGACCTCCCACCCTTGACCTCCTACCCTTGACCTCCTACCCTTGACCTCCCAGGCATGCCCCCCACCAACCAATATACCACTCTGCCCCCCCACGGTCCCTTGCCATCGCTACACCTGGCACGTCCGTCACCTGGCCCCTGCCCATCTCCGCGAGCCCCCCCCCCACACTCACCGCCACCCCTCCCACTACCCCTCCCCCCCACCCCCACCTCGTGTGTGTATTGTAAAAAAAAATGAAAAAGATAACCGGGGAGCGGGGGGGGGGGAGATGTGAGATATCAAAAAAAAATGGTGAAGTGGCTAATGAGAATTAGCGGCAATGTTGCTGCTCCCCCACGCTCCCCGGCACGGCGCACTGTGATTGGCTTTTGCTCTGTGATGCGACTGATTGGCCCGTCTGCCCACCCGTGTAGATATATATAATGTGTGTGTGCGCGTGCGTGTGTAATAATTGATTAATCGACGCATCCCGTTTATATATAATCTGCATATACACCATCGCCTCTACTTTCATGTTGGTAGTTTTTTCCCAACTCTTTTTTTTTTATTAACGCAACCAACCACCCCCCTCTCCCCGTCGATAACCGACGGGTTACGGAACGGACGCAGTAACATGGAACGGTGCACAAGCCCTCTAGCTCTGTGTTCTGCCTTGGGGGTTATCCACCAGGGTCAGCCACGGTCTGGTGATCGACCGGGGTAGGCAGGGGTCAGGCTGGGATTAGCCAGGGTAAGGTTGGGGTCAGGCTGGGGTTGGCCAGGGAAGGTCAGGTCGGGGTCAGGCTGGGTTAACCAGGGTCAGGCCGGGGTCGACCAGGCCGGGGTCAACCAGGACCAGGCCGGGGTCAACCAGGACCAGGCCGGGGTCAACCAGGACCAGGCCGGGGTCAACCAGGACCAGGCCGGGGTCAACCAGGACCAGGCCGGGGTCAGGGTGAGAGTGTGCGATGGTAGAAACGGAGCCATAATAATAATGCCTGGAAATAAACGCGCGGCACGAACCTTGGTGTTTGTGCGCTACAATAAGCTTGTGTCGAGATGGCCGTCGCCACTATTTATGACTCCTAAAGCATCATAACTTCTTTTTGCTTTTTGTTTGCGTTAAATTTATTTTAATTTAATTTACACTTTGTACCTTAATTTTTTCTAACCCCCCCCACCCCCACACCACCTCTGTTGTTGTTTTAACAACGAAAATGGGAGCAATGACGTCTGCCGACATTGAGTTCCCGTGTTCGTCGTACTGCGCGCGGTGAGACTCACCAAGCGGGTTACAGACGGGGCGCCCGCAACGCCTCGCTCGTGCCAATCACTACGGGGGTAGACTCCTTCTCTCTTAGGGGACCACCATACCCCTTATCCCCCCACCCCCCCCCCCGATCCTCTGTTAGAATGTGTGTTTGGCCTACTCTTTCAGATGATCTCGGGAGAGGTTGTGGCGGGGGAGCGGGGGGGTTGGAGAAGGGGGGTGGGGGGTAACCCATACTTTACCGCAGTGCATGCAACCCGCCGATTGATGATCTTGTAAACCAATTTACTGGCGAGAAAGATAAATGTCTGAATTGCACCCACAGTCTCCTCTCACCCTGCCCCCCCCCTCCTCCCTGCCCCCCTCTCCGGGGGTGGGGAGGCCGGGAAATAAAATAAAAATCCTCGCTGAGTCGTTGCCTGAGCAGAGCGAGCCCGGGGGGGGGGGGGGTGGGGGGGGCGGTGGGGGGCTCAGCCGGTGTGGGGGGGCGGCGAGCGACAAAATGCAAACAGAGCAACTTTTTTTAAAAAATGCCATAGCCTATTTTGTGAATAATAAACTTTAAAAGAAACTATATATATGTACGTTGGGGGGTAACAACTTTGTAGGTTTTAAAGAAAAGGAACGTGAATAAATGTAACTGTATTATCTGCCCGATTTGTGCGCGCCTCCTTTGTTAGTTTGATGCGCAACCCACAAAGGTGCCCCCCCGCGCGGCGTAGCCTGTGCACGCTGCCGGGGCAAGTGCGCGTGGTGTGACGAGGGGAACCAACGGAGTTCGGGGGCGCTGCGAGCGGGTGGTGTGGCCGGAGCCACCACGCCAGGCTGCCTCGCGCAACTCCGAGAGATCACCCCGCATGGCCTCAACAGACTGTGTCCGTGTGACCCGGTTCTGGCTCCTGCCACCATGAGGGGTGGACAGTCCTCGACTCGGGGCAGGAGACTGCCAAACAACAGGGGAGTGGCTCTTCTTCAGAACAAAAGAATGACGGGAGCGTGGCGGTGAGGTGTGGGAAGCTGTAAGCTCCAGGCTACTTTGGGCTCGCCTTCCCATCAACCAGAGGCGAGGAGTGGTGGTCGTGGTTTCTTATGCCCCCACCGAAGACGAACATCTGTGGAGGGATGCAGGCAAGGCCGATGAGTCGGATGCCTTCTATGACCTCCTGTCACAGATGCTAGCTAAAGTAGCCCCTCGGGATAGAGTCAACTCTCGGCCTCTGTGGAGGAGGCTCGTGAAGGACGCTGCTGCTGGGCAGTTGGAGGCAGTCCTCCAGCAATAACGGAGGGCAGAAGAGCGACGATCACAACAACGAGCGGAGCGCCGGGTGGCTAAAGCACAGTAAGTTGGCACAGTAGGGGGGGCACAGGTGGTGCATGGGCCAGTCATCTCGGTCATCTCAGTCAATCGACCCGTGACATCTGGGTCTGCCCTGTGATCTGCAAGCGGGCGTTCGACACTTCACGTGGCCTCAACGTGCACTTAGCCTGGCACAAGCGCCGTTGTGACGTCACCGCCACTTAGTGGCGAAAGGCGGTTGTTGCTGTTCGTGTGTCTGTGTGTCCATGTGTGTCTGTGTGCGTGAGCGGTAGTGTAGCGGTAAGCGCGCTGCGCTAAGAACCCGGCCACCTGAGTTTGATTCTTGCCCACGGCCAACAAATGCAACAGTGACAATTATATTAACCGGTCCTGGGCCTCCCCTAGGTCGTCTCAGCCTCAACTGAGTTCCTGGTGCGGTGTGTAAACATCGCCACTAGGGGGTCAGGCGGCCGGGCGTGGTGTCCCCCACACCCTCGTGTGCCGTGCCGGCCTTCAGCACTTGCCAAAACAGTCTGTTACAAGCTACACGGGGGGTCTTTATCTTAGTTTGAACACCTGTGAAGGCCTGCACGTTACGCAAGTGGGTGGGTAGGTGCCCTCTACCCCCCCCCCCCCCCCCGGTTTCAATGCCAGGCACAAGACCTCCCTCACCGTCTGTGAGGAAGTCGCAAGGCCGGCATGAGTCTCATCTGCAGGAGTGTCCGGAGGCTTTCGTCTGCCAGTGGGGGATGGTGGTCGCTGTGGTCCAGCCTACGGCAACCGCAGTGGCCTCTGGGGCATGTCTGCCGGGAGAGACGGCAACGATCCCCTGCCACGTGTTATCACAATTGTACGCGTTGAACTTCTTTCGCACCGTGCGGAGCGAACCGTGCTCATCGGAGGTGCGTTGTTCCTCACGCACCACGGTGCAGGTCACGACAACGATAAAGATCCCCCGTATAGCCTTAGCAGACTTTTGGTGCAAGTGCGCTTAGCGAGCAGCATCGATGAGGGCCAGAACAGCACACGAGGGGGTGGGCGGCCAGCACCACGCCCGGCCGCCTTTATCTGGTACGGCCCTTACCTCGTGGAGACCCAGGGACCGATTCGGATCATCGCCACTGGTGTTGGCCGTGGGTGGGAATTGAACTCGGGTCGCCGCGTTCGCAGCGCAGCGCGCTAACCGCTGCCACAACAACAACAACAACTCGCTCTCCCACTCGCATCGAGTCAATTTTGCCCCTCCCATTTTCGTTTTTTGACAAACGTGCACCCGGACGGCGCCACGCACCGGGTCCCCTGCCACGTCACGCTGTCTATGACGTCCACCGCGCAGCAGACCGCCGCGTGGTGCTGTTCTCTTCGGCTGCTCGACCGCGCAGTATTAACCGGGGCGGCCGCTGGAATCGAACCGTGAGCCTCGGCGAGGAGCGGCGAACAGCGCCTCCCGCTGGGCCCACGCCGTCGCCTGCAAGGGAAGATTGACGCAACCGCAGCTCCTCTCCTGCTCGCAGCCCTGAGTCGGTGTTGGAAATTCCACATTTCAATGGCGGGGTCGGGAGCGAGTCTATCCATTAGGCAAACACTGCTCGCCTCCTCACGAAGTGGTACACGATTTAGCGACCCCACTGGGATGATGGGCTGAGTCAACCTACCCCCAACCAGGAGGATTTGAACTCGCGACCTTGTGATTGCGAACCGCTGAGCAACCTGGGTGGTGAACCCCGCACCATCCACCAAAGATCCCCCGTGTAGCCTTAACAGACTGCTGGGGCAAGTGCTGTTGACGAGCACCTTAGAAGGCCGGCACGGCACACGAGGGGGTGGGTGGCCAGCACCACGCCCGGCCGCCTTTGTCTCCCCAGTAATGACATTTACACACCGCACCAGGTACTCATTAAAGGCCGAGTCGACCTAGGAGAGGCCCAGACCCGGTTCGAATGTTCGCCACCCGTTGTTGGGCGTGAGCGGGGATCGATCGAACGCGGTAGGGTTGGTAGCTTCGTAGCGCAGCGCGCTAACCACTGCGCCACCGCTCCCCCCCCATCTCCACTCAAACAAAAACAACAGATTTTTGGCTCTTCCCAATGGGCGAATACAATTATTTATTACTAATTATAATTTATTACTAATGATCATTTATTAGTAATTATGATTTATTAGTAAATCTTATTTATTAGTAATTATTTATTACAAATTATGATTTATAGCTAATTATTTATTTATTTCACTTCACGCCTGGTGCCATCGACTTCCCCCGGTGCTGCGCGAATCATCGCTTCCCCCTTTGGCCTGAGCCGGCCCCCCGCAGTGCCCCCCCTACCCCGCCCCCCCGGGGTCCCATCGCGAACGGCGACCGGCGGTGGGTGGTGGCACCTGGCCCGGAGTCGAACTGAGGCATGGAGGCGGTGGCGTTCGTGGCCGTGGCCGCGGTCTGCCTCGTAGCCAGGGCGCGGGGCGCCGCTCCGGGCATTGACCTGCGCATCTCGCAAAGCGGCTTGGAATACGGTGAGAACATCTGTGTGTGTGTGTGACACTCTGTGTGTGTGTGACACTGTGTGTGTGACATTCTGTGTGTGTGTGACACTGTGTGTGTGTGTGACACTCTGTGTGTGTGTGACACTGTGTGTGTGACATTCTGTGTGTGTGTGACTCGGTGTGTGTGTGACACTCTGTGTGTGTGTGTGTGACACTCTGTGTGTGTGTGACACTGTGTGTGTGAGACACTGTGTGTGTGACACTCTGTGTGTGTGACACTCTGTGTGTCTGACACTCTGTGTGTGTGTGACACTGGTGTGTGTGAGACACTCTGTGTGTGTGACACTCTGTGTGTGTGACACTCTGTGTGTGTGAGGACACTCTGTGTGTGAGACACTCTGTGTGTGTGACACTCTGTGTGTGTGACACTCTGTGTGTGTGACACTCTGTGTGTGAGACACTCTGTGTGTGAGACACTGTGTGTGTGTGACATTCTGTGTGTGTGTGTGACACTCTGTGTGTGTTGACACTCTGTGTGTGTGACACTCTGTGTGTGAGACACTCTGTGTGTGAGACACTCTGTGTGTGTGAGACACTCTGTGTGTGTGACACTCTGTGTGACACTCTGTGTGTGTGACACTGTGTGTGTGACATTCTGTGTGTGTGTGACACTCTGTGTGTGTGACACTCTGTGTGTGTGACACTGTGTGTGTGACACTCTGTGTGTGTGTGACACTCTGTGTGTGTGACACTCTGTGTGTGTGTGACACTGTGTGTGTGTGACACTCTGTGACACTCTGTGTGACACGCTGTGTGTGTGACACTCTGTGTGTGTGTGACACTCTGTGTGTGTGTGACACTGTGTGTGTGACTCTGTGTGTGTGTGACACTCTGTGTGTGTGTGACACTCTGTGTGTGTGACACTCTGTGTGTGTGACACTCTGTGTGTGGCACTCTGTGTGTGTGACACTCTGTGTGTGAGACACTGTGTGTGTGTGACATTCTGTGTGTGTGTGTGTGACACTCTGTGTGTGTGACACTCTGTGTGTGAGACACTCTGTGTGTGTGAGACACTCTGTGTGTGAGACACTCTGTGTGTGTGAGACACTCTGTGTGTGTGACACTCTGTGTGTGCGACACTCTGTGTGACACTCTGTGTGTGTGACACTGTGTGTGTGTGACATTCTGTGTGTGTGTGACACTCTGTGTGTGTGTGACACTCTGTGTGTGTGACACTCTGTGTGTGTGTGACACTCTGTGTGTGTGACACTCTGTGTGTGTGTGACACTCTGTGTGTGTGTGTGTGACACTCTGTGTGTGTGACACTCTGTGTGTGAGACACTCTGTGTGTGGTGAGACACTATCTGTGTGTGAGACACTCTGTGTGTGTGAGACACTCTGTGTGTGTGACACTCTGTGTGTGCGACACTCTGTGTGACACTCTGTGTGTGTGACACTCTGTGTGTGTGAGACACTCTGTGTGTGTGACACTCTGTGTGTGTGACACTCTGTGTGTATGACACTCTGTGTGTGTGTGACACTGTGTGTGTGACACTCTGTGTGTGTGACATTCTGTGTGTGTGACTCTGTGTGTGTGACACTCTGTGTGTGTGACACTCTGTGTGTGTGTGACACTGTGTGTGTGTGACACTCTGTGTGTGTGTGACACTCTGTGTGTGTGACATTCTGTGTGTGTGTGACACTCTGTGTGTGTGACACTCTGTGTGTGACACTGTGTGTGTGAGAGGGTGTGGGGGTGTGTGGGGGTGTGTGTGGGGGTGTGTGTGTGTGGGTGTGTGGGTGTGTGGGGGTATGGGGGGGGTGTGATGCGTGCAGAGACGATGGGAGACTCAGCACGGCCACGGCTCTGTTTGTTGTATGTACTGTCTGTACGTTGAACTTCGTTCGCACCGTACGTAGCCAACCCTTGCTAATCGGAGATTGCGGGGTGAAAGACGACAAACTAAACAAAGCAGTGCTAAGGAAATAAATTTTCAATCGAGATGACGATTTAAAAGTTAATAGCTCCAGTGGCTTCCTAACATTGGAAGGAAGAGCGTTCCAGACGGCCACAGGAAGCGCATCAGAAAGCGCCGCGCAATGCGGTAGCCACAATTATTATCGTTATTCATGTTTCATCTTCTTCATCTTCTTCATCTTCATTTACACACGAAACAAACCTCGACCAAGAGCCCCGAATGAATTGAGACGTGAAACCATTCTCGATGCAAAGATCACACACACACACACGTGTCACACACGTGTCACACACACGTGTCACACACGTGTCACACACACGTGTCACACATGTGTCACACACGTGTCACACACGTGTGTGTGTGATCTTTGCAACAACAAAGTCTTACATTGATTGCAAAAGAGAATACTTCATGCGTGCCTTCATGTGAATAGAAGTCTGTTTCATTATCTATAAAAAAAATATTTGATTTGTTCAAATTAATAATGACAACCCTCTTGTGTCCGGACTTTTGGGCCACCCAGTACGTTGTCACCCTGTGTGTTGTCACCCTGTGTGTGTCACCCTCTGTGTCGTCACCCTGTGTGTAGTCACCCTCTGTGTTGTCACCCTGTGTTGTCACCCTGTGTGTCGTCACCCTGTGTGTTGTCACCCTCTGTGTCGTCACCCTGTGTTGTCACCCTGTGTGTCGTCACCCTGTGTGTCGTCACCCTGTGTGTCGTCACCCTGTGTGTCGTCACCCTGTGTGTTGTCACCGTGTGTGTAGTCACCCTGTGTGTCGTCACCCTGTGTGTTGTCACCCTGTGTGTTGTCACCCTGTGTGTCGTCACCCTGTGTGTTGTCACCCTGTGTGTTGTCACCCTGTGTGTTGTCACCCTCTGTGGTAGTCACGCTCTGTGTAGTCACCCTCTGTGTTGTCACCCTGTGTGTAGTCACCCTGTGTGTTGTCACCCTGTGTGTAGTCACCCTGTGTGTCGTCACCCTGTGTGTTGTCACCCCTGTGTGTAGTCACCCTCTGTGTTGTCACCCTGTGTGTTGTCGCCCTGTGTGTAGTCACCCTGTGTGTAGTCACCCTCTGTGTTGTCACTCTGTGTGTAGTCACCCTGTGTGTAGTCCACCCTCTGTGTAGTCACCCTCTGTGTAGTCACCCCTCTGTGTTGTCACCCTGTGTGTTGTCACCCTGTGTGTTGTCACCCTGTGTGTTGTCACCCTCTGTGTAGTCACCCTCTGTGTTGTCACCCTGTGTGTTGTCACCCTGTGTGTTGTCACCCTCTGTGTTGTCACCCTGTGTGTTGTCACCCTCTGTGTTGTCACCCTGTGTGTAGTCACCCTGTGTCGTCACCCTGTGTGTAGTCACCCTGTGTGTTGTCACCCTGTGTTGTCACCCTGTGTTGTCACCCTGTGTGTTGTCACCCTGTGTGTTGTCACCCTCTCTGTTGTCACCCCTTTCAAGCCCAACTGAGCTCCACCGGCGTCTTGTAGAAGCGACCCTTCCTGTCACAATTCCCTGATGAGCCACTTCGTTGGGCGTTTTATAGCAGCCAATTACTCCCAACACGATTGGGTGCTGTAGCAGCACAGCACGCGAGCCGACACGGCGACTCGGTGGGGAATACATTCACACAGATGCGGAGCAACTTACATCACGATCATCGTCGCATGTTCAACATTCACATCGCGTCGTATCGGGAAAATGGCACCGTGGAATCCTTATTGGGTACGTTTCCATCATCTCAGAAGAGAGATAACAATTACATGACGCGGTGGCTAGGAGATGTTCACTACCTCTCCTGGTATAGAGCAGACGTGGGTTCGATCCCGACCCTGACACCCGCTGCTGTATATTTGGAGTCTGCTTGTCTTTCTCTCTCCGTGGGTGAGATGTTAACTACCTCGCCTGGTGTACAGGAGGTCGTGAGTTCGATCCCGACCCTGACACCCGCTGCTGCTATATATTTTGGAGTCTGCGTGTCTTTCTCTCTCCGTGGTGAGATGTTAACTACCTCGCCTGGTGTACAGGAGGTCGTGAGTTTCTATCCCGACCCTGACGCTCGCTGCTGTATATTTGGAGTCTGCTTGTCTTTCTCTCTCCGTGGTCGCGTGGATTTTTCTCTGGGGCCTCCGGGTTTCCCCTTCACATTGATAATCGACATCACCACAAGTTTAGAGTCTTTGGCTGCTGCTGCTATAAACTTCCACGTGATGAGCCACTTCGATGAGCCATCATTTGTGGGCCTTACCCGGTAAAATAAAAATAGTTTCGACCTTCACAAAGCGGTACTGATTTTATCAACCCCCGGAAGGATGATGGGCTGAGTCAACCCCAGCCCCTCCCCCCTAACCTTTCGATTGCGACACCCCGGGTGGGACGGGAGGGGGGTTGGTCTGGGGGGGGGGGGGGGCGACTTACAAGTTTCCCAAATGGAACTTCTCTTCAAGTCTAGATTTAAAGCTTTCGTGACTGCAAGGATCCATACTCTTTGGTTCTATTCGGTAAAGTCACGTAGGTAAAAAAGTATTAGATTCGATACTGTAACAGAAGTGTTTATAATAAATACGTGTTGCCTCTAAAGAACAGTCACACTACGTCAATAAGGGCACTACACACACACCACACACACACACCACACACACACACACACCTATGTATAGAATGCACACACACCACACACACACCACACACACACACCTATGTATAGAATGCACATACACCACACACACACCACACACACAACACACACACCACACACACACCACACACACACACACACCACACACACACCACACACACACCCACACCACACACACATACACACCACACATACACACCACACACACACACCACACACACCACACACACCTCCCAGGCAGGCGTCATACATGATAGAGGCAAGGCATGATGTGCACGGGCTCTCAGTACGGTTGCCACATGTCCCGGTTTTCCCGGAATCGTCCTCGTGTTGCCTCGGCAATCGTCCTCGTGTTGCCTCGGCAACACGAGGACGATTCCGGGAAAACCGGGACATGTGGCAACCGTACTGAGAGCCCGTGCACATCATGCCTTGCCTCTATCATGTATGACGCCTGCCTGGGAGGTGTGTGTGGTGTGTGTGGTGTGTGTGTGTGGTGTGTGTATGTGTGGTGTGTATGTGTGTGTGGTGTGGGTGTGTGTGTGGTGTGTGTGTGGTGTGGGGTGTGTGTGTGGTGTGGTGTGGTGTGTGTGGTGTGTGTGTGGTGTGTGTGTGGTGTATGTGCATTCTATACATAGGTGTGTGTGTGTGGTGTGTGTGTGGTGTGTGTGCATTCTATACATAGGTGTGTGTGTGTGTGGTGTGTGTGTGTGGTGTGTGTGTAGTGCCCTTATGTTGCCTCGGCAACACGAATACATGTTGCCTCGGGTGGGGCGGGTTGGTCTGTGGGGGGGCGACTTCCAAGTTTCCCAAATGGAACTTCTCCTTCAACGGGCAGACCGCAGGCCACGTGGCGACTGTCAGCCGCCGCTGAGCCGCCAACGTGGGGGGGTTCTGGTTCATCGTGGTGCTGGGACCCCCCCCCCCCCTCCCACCCTTGTCAATGTACACTACACAAGGGATGGGGACAGATGCAGACGAGACGGATGTTGGTGAGATGAAAGAAGAGTTCTAGAGATCAATATTGGAATGAGATAGAAGATGACGTCACCCTGCTGCTGCTCTATTTAAGACGGGAAGCAAGTTGCAGGGCTTCACCGTTCTGGCGAATTGCCCGCTGACGCTGGATGTAATGGCCAGCGAAACTCGTTCCCGTTCTTCCTGAGGTGCCACCAGCGGCACCCGTCTACACCCCGTGGATTTCCCAGCCACCCCGGGGTTTGCGAGGGCCCCGGGCCGGACGGCCGGGGGCGGCCTTGCTGCCGGAGGGTGGTGGAGCCACACGCGCTGCGGGGGGAGGGGATTTCACCGCAACGAGCGAATGGAGACGGCGGGGAAGGAGACGGGGACGCGGCGTGCGCCGAGGACCACGGAGGATGCCCGCGGGGCCGGGAGAGACCGGAGGGACGGCGCGGGCCCGCCCGGGGCGACGGGGGAGGCGACGGGGGAGGGAGGTGCGGCGAGGGAAGGGTGCGGGGATGGTGGATGGGACCGGAGGGGGCATGGGGGGGGCGGAGGAGCGAAGAGGCCGAGGGGGAGCGCCGGGAGGCCGGGGACGGAGCGCCCCCGAGCAGAGCGCAGGCGACGAAGCAGGGGGGATGCCATCAAGCCGGGGGCCGCGGGAGGAACGGAGGAGGAGGATGACAGCGGACGCTGGCCCGGTGGGAGCGGGGAGACCCAGCGAAGGAGCGGGGAGGTGGCGCAGTGGAGCAGGGGCGGGCCGGACACCAACGCACGCCAGGAGGCTCAACTGCGTCAGGGTGGAGTTGAAGGACGACGTGGGGGAGGAGGTGGCGATTGATAGAGCGACCTTCGTGAGGTCGGTGATGCTCGGGATGTTGCGGGCGGAGGTGGCGGACCTGTGCTGTTTGATTGCTCTGCCGGGGGGGAGGGCTTTTGACGTGAGATTCACTTTGAGCCTCCTGCTGCAGAACTTCCTCACTCGCTTCGAGGAGAAGGCGGGGGAAGAAGCATCTGGCATCCATGAGGACGCAGCTGCTGTCGGATCTGGAAATAAAGGTTGTGACTGTCTTCTTGTATAACGAGGCACTGCATGACCAGGACGTGGGGGTGTGGTTGAGGCAGCATTGCGTGCTACTATCCAACTGCAGGAGGGTGCAAGGACTCTGTGGGGATATGGACCGGGGCCAGGCAATGGAGGGTTTCGCCTGAAGACGGAGGGGGGGGAGTTCTGAAACATATCCCGAGAGCCTTAAACAACGGGGGGTACTTGGTATACGCGGGCCAGCCTAAGCTGTGTAGGAGGTGTGGGGAAGGGGGCAACTGGCGGCAGCATGCGAGGCAAGAATCTGCTACAGGTGCAAGGGCGCCGGATCACACGGTGGAGGAGTGCAGGGAGCCGGTCCAATGCAACCTCTGCGGTAGCAGAGGGCACCTGTATTGGGACTGCCCGGAATCATAGGCCAACAAGGTGCGGGGCGTACCGGGGTGGGCGGGAGGGGGAGGCGGCGGAGGGGGCGACCGGACGGGGATCGGACCGGGAGCTTGTGGGGGAGGAGGAAGGAGAGGCGGCAGAACCACGACCCCCCCGGGGGGGGGGGAGAGGGAGACCTGCGGAGGGGGAAGCCACGACATCGCCGGACCGGGAGGAGGGGGAGCAGGGGGAGGAGGGAAGGCGAGGGAGATGCCCCAGGAATCCCCGTGGTGGGACTGGGCGGAGGCAATGGGCGAGGAGGAGGAGGAGGGCGAGAGGGAGCAACGGGTGGAGGAAGGAGCTGAAGGGGCGTGGGAGGAAACAACGGGAGGAAGAGGGAATTGGACGGAGCCCTAATGGAGGCTGGCCCCCCAGCACGGCACGGATCCTTCAGGCTCCTCACCGGACACGGAGGCCTCTGGGTGGAGGAGGACAGAAGGAGGGGGGCGGTTGAACCGGGGGAAGCCCCGGATGGTCGAGGGGGAGGAAGGAAAGTGCGGGAGAAGGCGGACAAGGACGGTTACGGGGAGCGTGCAACGGGAGACGGACCTAACGTTACACTCTGGCATGGAACCTCTCGGCGGCGTCCACAAACGTGAGAGGAATGAAGGGGAAGGGAAGGAGGGGAGCAATTATGCAACTGTTAAAGGCCACCAGAAGGGACGTGACCTTCCTTCAAGAGTGCCACCTACCGTACACCCTGGGCTCGGAAGAGAACTGCGTGAAGACTGGGACGGCCACTACTATGGTCGGGTAGTAACCCTCCTAGGCAGGAGGGAAAAGCGGGTGGAGGGAACCCAAGAGATGATCCCGGGCCGACTCCTTTGTGTGGACGTGTCCTACCAAGGCGTGGAGTTGCGGCTGGTGAATGTGTACGCCCCGGTACGATGCATGGAAAGGGTAGAGTTGTGGGAGAGCCTAGCGACTCTACTGGCTACTAGGCGACAAGTCATCGTAGGCGGAGACTTCAATTGCCCGCTATACTTAACGGACCTGGTGTCGGCAAAGGGGAGGAGGAAACTGGACTCTTCCTCCAGAAAGCTGAGAGAACTGATGGCGGACCTCGGCATGATAGACGCTTTCAGGAGGGTGCATGGTGCAAGGCCCGGGTACACGTGGTCGGACAAAAGCGGGGGAGCGCAGTCGCGGATAGATTTTATCTTCACCTCTGCCAAAGTAGAAGTGGAGAGTGCGGGGGTGGAGCCCTTCCCCTTCTGGGACCACAAAATGTACGTGGCAGGGCTCGCGATCCCAGGTGGGGCGAGGAGAGGGATGTGGAAAATGAACGTGGTCTATTGGAGGACCAGAAAGTGGTGGGGGACTTTGTGCAAACATACAACGACTGGAGGACCTTGCAGGACTGTTTTCCCACGAGGGTGGAATGGTGGGGCCAGATGAAGGGCAGGGTGAAAACGCTTTTCCAGTACCATAGTAGGAGGAGGGGAGTGAACAGGGAGTTGAGGCAGTGCAACGCCAGGTTGAGAGGAATGTACAGATTGCTTGAGCTAGGTTTCCCTATGGGGGAAAGGATAGAGGAATTGAAAGGGAGGATAGCCTCAGTGTTGGAAAGGAGGGCTAGACAGCTAGTGTACAGGCGAGGGTTAGGGCAACGGAGGAGGGGGAGAAGTGCACGAGGTTCTTCTTCAAAGCAGGTTCGGAGGGGGATAACGTAGTTAGGAATTGGTAAGCCCTGCCAGAGGCAGGCAGACGACGGCAGGGATGATGAGTGTAGTGGAGGACTACTATAGGGAGCTGTACGGGAGAAAAGGGACAGATGGGGGGAAGCGGGAGGAGCTGCTGGGGGCACTGGGGAGGAGGATTGGGAGCCTGGAGTCGCTGGGGGAGAAGATTCGGCAGGGAGAAGTGGAGGGGGCGGTAAAGGGGCTGAATAGGAATAGAACCCCGGGCCTGGATGGTATCCCAGCGGAGTTCTACGTCAAGTTCTGGGAGCACCTGAAGGAGAACATGTTGCAAATCTGTAGGGAGACTTTAGAGGAGGGCCGGGGTGCCGGACGATATGCGGGAGGGTTTAGTTACGCTGAATTTATAAAGGGAAGGGGGATCGCAAGGGCTTGGGAAGCTGGCGCCCAATTACACTCCTAAACACGGACTATAAGATTTATCGAGGATAGTTGCGGCGCGATTAGGGAAGGTGGTGGGGGGGGGGTAGAGCCGGATCAGACGTGCGCGGTCCCGGGGAGGAGGGTCGCGGACTCCCTGGTGGTGCCGAGGGAGGCCATAGAAGGGGAAATAGAGAGGGGGTGTCCGCTGGGGATTCTGAGTTTGGACTTGGACAAAGCCTTTGACCGTCTTTTCGCATGAGTATATGCTGGCGGTGATGGAGGGAATGGGAATGAGTGGGCCCCTGGTGGAGTGGGTGGCACGGCTCTACGGTGGGTTCAGGGCTAGGATTTTGATAAACGGGGAACGCTCGGGGGTGATTCAAGTAGAGTCCGGGGTGCGGCAGGGGTGCCCGATGTCCCCGGTCTTGTTCGTGATGAGCATGGAACCTCTTGCGCAGACAATAAGGGATAACCAAAGGATTAGGGGGGTGACAATACCGGGCAACAAGGAACAAGGGAAAGTGACTTTGTACATGGACGACGTGGCCGTGCTGTGCAGGGACGCTGCGTCAGTGTGGAGAGCTATGGAGGAGACAGGGCGGTTCTGTGCGGCCTCCGGCTTGAAGATTAACACGAGGAAGAGCGAGCTGATGGTCTTTGGGGACTAGAGGTTGTTCGAGGGTCGGCCGCCAGAGTTGAGACTGCAGACGGAAGAGATCACGGTGCTGGGGGTGACCTCTTTAGGGATAGATCGGCGGAACGTAACTGGGAGAAAAGGATAAGGAAGGCGAAGGGACGTTTTGGGTAAGTGGGCAGGAGACGGCTCACGATGGCTGGGAGGATCATGGTGGTGAAGGTGGAGATACTGCCAACGCTAAACTACCTGGCGCAAGTATTCCCACCTGGTAGGAGGGAGGTCAGGGCCTTGACATCGACGCTATTCGGATTTATCTGGGGGGGGAGGGATGGAGGAGGGTGAGCAGAGCGATACTGTGGAAGCAGCTTGTGAACGGGGGGGCGGGGCGCCCCAAATGTGGAGTACAAAGTGGCGCCCCAAATGTGGAGTACACCCTGATCTCGATCTTTGTGTGTAATGCCATGAGGACTGTTCTCCTCCGAAGAGCCGCGAGGCAAGGCGGCGTGCTACACGAGGTATTGCCTGACGTGGCGCCTGCGGGGCCTCGGGATGACCCCAAGCCGAGAGGAGCACACCCTTGGACTGGCCGGGGGGCTGGCTGAGTGACGTGGTGGGGGACTACGTAGGGCAGCACGGCCTGAACCGGTGGGGGGGCCGGTGGAGCCCCAGAGAGGTGCGGGCCGAGGCGGAGAAAGGGGAGGCCTGTGAGGAGGTGCCAGGGGCGAGGAGGGCGCTACACCGGAAAATTTGGAGGAAAATGTCGTCGGCGGCACTCACAAAAGAACAGAGGGACCTGTCCTGGCTGGCGGTCCGGGACAAACTGGAGACGAGGGCCTTCATGTACGCCCGCCAAATGGCACGCACCCCCAAATGCCCGAGGGGCTGCAACGGGGACGAGAGCGCTATACACGTGATAGTGGCATGCCCCTTTGCCCAGGAGGTGTGGAGGCGGAGTGTACCGCTGTTGGCCCGGTTCGCCCCGTCGAAGGTGACAACATGGGACGTTATGTGGGGGGAGTTGCGGGGAGTGGGAGGGGAGGACAGGGACCGGGCTTGGGCCATGATAGGCGCAACAAAGGAGGCCTTACGGAAGGCGCGCAAGAAGGAGCTTGGAGGGTCCCAGATGTCCCCTTTGGAAGCGTGCCACGTGGCAAGGAGGTTGTTGGAGAGGGTGGTGGAGGTGGATCGGGTGAGGCTGGGGCACGAAGCCGCACGGGAAAAGTGGAAGTGCCCACTGCCCAGGGTGGGTTAGGGTGGCCTGGGACGGGGGGGAGGGGGGGGCTTTTACTGGCGCCCGGGGGCGAGGTCGCGCGTGGCTGGAGGGGAGGTAGCCCCTCCATGCACACATGTGCCCCAGTGCTGTGTCGGGGGGTGATTCCGGTCTCGCGGATGGGTCAGTGGCCGGGTGGGGCCTTCGCGGCGCGCGGGAGGGAGCGCCCCTCGATCTTTGTTTTGCTTTGATTTATTTATCGTAATGACCAGCAAAACGTCGTATTAAAACTGTAAATATTGTGGATTTACTCTTCAACACACCGGTGGGCTAAAGTAGTGAGCTATTTGTCAATTTGTCAACGTGACACGTGTTTTACTGTTTGGCCGTGTCGGGTGGTGGAGGGCTACGACACATTTATAAATAACGCGATCTAACCCAAAAACCTTTATTATGA